TTGGGAATGCTATAGGAACACTTATAGAAATATATTTATATAGCACCTTAGCAATAGAAAGCATTTCAGATTAATTCTAGAAAGGATGTCCCTATATTCCTATCAGTTCCTATGAAAAATCGAACTTCTTTATCTATTTTTTTTTATTACATATTATACATACATTATATATATACCATATATATATCATATGTACACTATATGTACATCATATGTATAGCATAGAAAAAAATTGAAATTTTTTCTAGAAGTTTTATTTTTCATAGAAACTAATAGGAACATAAGAACAGATATCAAATCAAACAATTAATCAATTCAAGAAAGCGAAGGCAATATACAAATGTGTTTCTATGAGTATTCCTATGAAATTTTTTTAGCTAAGTTGATAGGAACAAAAAATCTGTCCTATTTTACATCCTAATATGTCTAGAAATATATAGAAATACAATATGAATGTATTCCAATGATTCAAATTTTAGAACGCAAAATCAGCATATTTATAATAATGCAATAGTTAGATTATAAAATAGTGTACTTCTGACAAATAAATAGGTTGGCTATAATAATGCCTATTACACCTCTGAGAAGTATAATATCTTAGCCTTCACTCCTAATGGCAAATAGATAGTCAAAAAGTAGAATTAAATATAGCCAGTGATATTGTATAAGCTATCTAATGTGATTTATTGACTTGTTGTAGTAGGACCACATATTATTCAAAATCTTTTTTACTAATTTTAAGGAAAGCACAGCCATTAATTTTCTTTTTACAAATGATTTCTAAATCATCTTCATCAAAATCTAGATTCTCAATCCTACGCAATAGATTAATGAGCTTAGTTATATTATATGTTTAATTAATTTCTTTCATTCTTTGAAAAAAGAGATATATAGTAAGCTAGTAAATAAATCGAAAATAAAAGGCAAGCAGATGTATCTGAAAAGTGTAATCTTCTTCGTAATCTATTATATAAAAATTGAAAGAAGACTACACTTTTCTAGATATGTACTCAGGTATAGTATAAATGGGTTGGTCATGATAATACATAATGCATCTCCAACTACAGACATAAAATTAGCATATATATACTAGTACAATAATTAAGTTATAAGATGACGCACTTTTTGGTAATCAAATAGGTCAGACTAAGATAATACATATTGTATCTCTAATCACAGACACGAAATTAGCATACATATACTGGCACAATAATTAAGTTATAAGATACAGTCAACTCTTGTTATAACGAACTCTATGTTCTAGACCTCAACTTTGCTATAAGGCTATAGCGAAGATTTTAAGAGATTTGATTGGGCAATTCGTTTTAACAAGAGTATTTTTATTATATTTGTTCAAAAAATTCGTTATATCAAGAGTTCGCTATATTAAGAGTTGACTATAGTATACTTTTTAGCAATTAAATAAGCTGATAATAATAATGCTGAACAAAAGGTGAACGAAGTAATAGTAACGATTTCTTTCCTATGTAACAATTTCGAATTTTTAGAAAATTTGTTAATATTGTTAATAGGTCTTATATCACGTGATAAAGTTCAGCAAATAGATGGATTGCAAATTCAGTACTTCGTGTCTCAATCTGATCAAAATTTGATTCACAAATTTACTATGTCACCTGATATAATATATTTTTACCACATTTTGGGATTTAGAAAAGTAACCAAATAGGCACAAAGAGAAAGCACTTTAATATAAAATCCAGCATCCAATCAGACATAAGAGATTAGTACTTCGATATAAAATCAGGTATCTAAACAACTACAGAAAGTCAATAATCCCATTATAGAATTTAATATATAAATGATTCAGAAATAAGAAGAAAAAGCATAGTTTTAGATTATATGTGTATAAGAATTAGATTATATTGTGATAATAAAAAATATATTAACATAAAAAATACGAATATCAAGAAAGTCTTAAAAATATAGCTAGAACATAAAAGAGATATAAAAAAAATAATAAAAGTGTTATATTATATATGATATTTAAATCATAATATTTAGATTATATGTAATAATTAGATTACATTATTTAGATTATATATGATATTCAGATTATATGTGATATTTAGATTATATATAATACTATAATCTAAGGTAAGTGAGATACCACATGTAATATAAATTATATTACATATGGTATTTCATTCAAATAAATAATATATATATATAATGGTAATAGAATAAAAGTATTCTATACTTATATTTAAATAATAAAAATTTGCTAGAAAAATTAGGCTTAAGAATATTTTTTGACTGAAATTAAGATTTATTATATTTTAATTTAATAATATCAAAAACTAATATATAATTAAATTAAAATTTTATTAAAAAATTTTTAAAGTCTGATTTTTTTATATATTTTTGAAATATATGATTTCTATATAAATTTATATAAATATTTTTTATTAAACATGATCTATTGATCAAATTTTATATATTAATATATTCATATATATTTCATTATAAATGAATTACTAAATATTAAAATAATTAAAGAATTTAAAATATTTTATTATAATTAAGTAATAATTATGTAAAAAATTGAATCTTATATATTATGATATATAAATAACTAATTTAAATTATAATCAAAGTATTATTATTATTAAATTTTAAGATTTAAATATAAAATAAAAAAAGGTAAATAAAATAAATAAGATCAAATAATAATTATTATATAAATTTTTTTGTAATAGAAAGTAAAAAAAATTTTTTTAAATTAATATTAAATTTAAATTTATTTTACTAAAAAATTATATAATTTATAAAATAAAATTTATTTATTTTTTTTTTTTACTATAAAATACTTATATAATGAACATATAATAAAAATTTCAATAATATTAAATCAGTTTTATACAAATATATAATAAGCTTTAAATTAACATAATCAAATAATATTATAACTTGAATATTAAAAAAAAAAGAAACTAAATTTTAAAACTTAAAAAATAAAAAAGAGATAAATATTGATATTAATAAAATTTTTTAATTAATTCTATCTTTAATTTCTAGTTAACTGATTTTTTAGAATTCTAAGATTTAATATTACTCTTTTCAAATATTATAAAACTCAAATAATCACAATAATTATAATTATTATTTATTAATTTCTTATAGAATTTTTAATAGAAAAGAATATTTTTTGAAACTGACATATTATATAAGAAAATTTAATAAGAAAATCTAATGAAAAAATAATTTAAAAATAAATATAAAAGTATTAATATTATATTAGCAAATTTTATTCAAAAAAAATAAGAAAATTTTTTTTAGAAAATAATATTATTATAAAAATTAAATTAAATAAAAAATATTATAAAAGAATAAAAATATATTCAAGAAATAGAATTAGTATTTTAATTAAGTTAAGTTAATTATGATAAAATTGAAGATTATAAAAAAGTTATATTTTTAATTTTTTATTATAATTAATCCATTATATAAGTAAATTTTTTATAAAGTTAATAAATTGCTTATTTTAATTCTTAATTACAACAAGTATTAGAATAATTTTAAATGTTTTATTTAAAGATATACTATTTAATATTAATTATAAAATTTAAATATATAAAATATAATTCTTTATATTTATATTTAATAAAATAGGTATATTTCAACATGAATTAGCAAATTATTAATTAAATTGTATTTTGATAAATATAATTATTTTATTAATAATTTATAATAAATGTTGAATTAATATAATTAATTTTGACATTATTAAAATTAATTAACGCTAAAGTATAGAAATATATGTACTAAAATTTGATTTAATTTATTTTAAAAATGTGTTAATAATATAAAAATGAAAAAATCAAATCTAAAGCTATTATCTATTACTTTTATGATACTTTTATTATTTTTTAATTTTTTTGATAGAATCTATAAAATCAGATCCAAGTATATATATACATTTTATGTAAACTTAAAAATTTTCTATAATATAATAATCAAGATCTTCAATTTAATAATTTAATAAATATTTCATTAAATACTAATGATATTATATTTGCTAAATTTTCATTTTCTATTTTTAATAATTAACTTTTAAATTTTAAATATATAAATCTTAAATATATAAAACTTTATTTTTTATATTTTATAACAGATAAATATAATAATAAAGTTGTTTTCTTATTTGGCAATGATTTTGATTTATAGATATTATTAGGATGATCTGCATCTTACTAATAGATCACATAATAACCACTGTATAACATAATCGGCCAATCACATGAAAGCTTCCTATTAAGATATTAAGAGCAACCCCATACAGAAAACTCTCAATTAGAAAAAAAATGCAAGATTCATCAAGTGTTAACGATTTCAATAAAAATAATATAAGCCCTTCAAATACAATATCAATTGTTTCCGATAATGTAGAAATTTCTGATGTAGATGAAACTATTCAAGAAAAAGAAAATAAAGAAGTTGAAGAATTATCAATAGAATTAATAGAAAGAAAAGTTATTGTATTTGCAATTCTTATTCCGTTTTCAATTATTGGAGTTCTTCTTCGTATCGAACTTATTAATCTCCATTCATTTCCTGGATCACCAGTGTTTGCATTAATTTATCCACAATTTGTTGGATGTGTAATAATGGGATTTTGCTTGGCAAGGAACGGATTCATTATGAAAAGGTAGAAAGGATTTGATCAAAAACATTTGAAATATTAAAACGAATATGTGTTCTTAAATTAAAAATTGTAACTATTTTGATTCGTTAGTTATCTTCCTTTATATATAGGGCTGACGACAGGTTTTTGCGGATCTATAACAACTTTTTCTTCATGGATTCTTTTGATATTCAATGAATTTATTTCACAGCACGTTCCTCATCGTAGCGTTACATATAATGTACACAAATCCTTCAAATTGCTGTCTCAAAAAAAATAAGAAAATTTTCTTAAAACATCCATTTTCTCTAAACTTTAGGTTCTCGCATCTCTTGCAGACATCGGAATCACAATAGGAATGTCTGTGACAGGATTGAAGTTTGGAGAACATTTAGCAGATATAATTCTTCCAAAACATAAAATTCGATTGGGAAAATCATGTAAAATAGTTCAAAAACCTTCAAAATTAAATGAATTTACTATTGCGGATTTTATATGTCTTGGATTCGGAATTGCATCATTTGTTCTCGTCGTTGCTTTAGCCAGCACAGTACAAGTAAATAGGAATATAATATTTGCTACTGTATTCGCTCCCATAGGTATATTCCATACATTCTTTGCTTTAAAATTAATAAATAAATATAAATGTTTTTTCCTCTTTTAAGGAACCTCGATTAGATGTTATTTATCTAAATATAATACATTCAAAAAACATTTTCCGTTGGGAACTTTTGCGGCAAATTTTTCAGGTTCAATAGTTATTGGAATATTATTTCTATTAAGTAATGGTATAGTTTATTCAAAATTAAGTTGCGAAATTATCGAAGGACTTGCAAACGGATTTTGTGGTAATTTTAATTTAAATAAATTAAGAAATTTATAAATATAAAATCAAACCCCTTTTGTACATTTATAGGATGTCTTACGACAATTTCTTCATTTGCAGTAAGTTTAAATATTTTTTAACTTTGAAATAACGCGAGAAATAATTTTATTTTTTACATTTTTTTTTTAATTAGAACGAAATCACACAGCTTCCAAGAAAACATGCATATAAATATGCATTAGTTTCCATCTTAATGGGTCAGATTGCAATGATATTAACAGTTGGAATTTATCATTGGACTATAGGCTTATCTTCGACTTCGACTTGTAAATGAAAAGAACTTAAAACGTAAAATCCTCTACAACTTGAATGTAAGAAAATTTTAAACAATGATTTTTTATTTAATAGTGACGATTGTTTATCAAATGCAAATAAATAAAAAAAAAAAAATATTGTTTACTAATTAATAAAAATTATGAATAAATTACATAAAAAGATTGATAATCTGATGCACTAAAAATAATTTATTCCTCCCGTACTTGAACAGCGGGATTAAAAGCCGGACTCTGCCAGGCTTGACTTTGTTTCAATTTTTCTTCACTAACTTGGGGACCTGTACCTTTTTCTTTGCGTTTCTTTTGCAAATCACTCACTTGCGATTGAAGTCTGGTAATGTTATCTTTCACATAATTGAAGAATTTAACCATTTTGTCGGTAACCATATTAGCCAACTGACGTTTCAAACGTTTTTCGATTAAAGGAGTCATGAACATGTACAAGAAACTATAAAAATACGACAAAAATGTACTTAATGATAACGATAATAAACAAATTAATAACATTTAATCAGAATAAGACTTACTCGTGTTTTGTGTCATGGAACTTGATTGTCAAGTTCTCTACAGTGGTGTCGGCTTCTAAAACTCTGAGGTCGAGTGAAGGATTTGTTTCACTGGGAAGATTCAATAAAAGCTTAATTTTCATGGTTAAGCCATTTTTCGGAATTGCGAAGTCTACCAATCCGACCTATGTGATTTGGAATATGTAAGTTACGTATAATACGGAATGAGTACGTGAATACTATTACTTACGTCCATCATGTTAATAAGACCTTTCTTCTTCTTGTAATAGAATGCGATATTACGAGCATCGGCACGTAATTTCGAACTAAAAGTATTAAGAGAAATTAGCAAACCAAGTATGACATTTAAAATGTTGGATTTACTTTTAAACTTACATTTCTATAAATGCGGTGTTTTGTACAATGTCATTTTCTTCTCGGTCAAGATTAATATCTGAAGTGAAGCTCATGTGCAAGTGTTTTGGCATTAGTTCAGAAAGATAGAGAACGACATTATCAAAAATGTAATCATATTCATCATCAGAGCTATAAAAATATAAAAAAGATTTATGTTTAGATCATTAACACGATTTTTTTTTATTTTGAGAAAAAGGATAAAATCATACTTTTCGATTCTGGGAAGAGGTAAATATTTTAATTTATCGGCCACTAAAGGTATTATTTTACCGAAATCCTTTATGAGTTCGAATTTCACAGTTGGTTGACCTCTGTCATCCAAAAACATATCACGAATTAAATTCTCAAAGTCGCTTGTCCACTGAGCTGTCGCTCTGTCTTCCTGCAAGGCTTGATTGAATGCATTAGCTTCGTCTACTATTTTTTGAGTATTATCAGAGTGTCTCTCAAGTAATAAATGTCTTCCAGTGTTAAGAAGCCTAGAACCGTGTTCCCTGTAATCAGTTTGTTGAACATATTGAGTATCGCGTAATGAAGAAAGTATAAAGTTTTGAAGATCTTTGAAGAATGATCTCAAATCTTCATCAGTTTTAACCCTACTACCAAATTCTCTCAAAGCATTGATCAAGGGATCAAGCGATTTATGATTTGCGAAATTCTCAATTAAATCCTTAGCATTTTGCTTAGCTATTTGGAGAGATGTTTCATCAGTACTTTCTTGCACTTGTGTTTTTGTTTGAGTTGCAACATGACCAGTCACTTCTTTTGATTGTTGAGTAACATGAGAAACGATATTGATGAGGTTTGAAAGAGCCTGTTGATATTCGGGTCTTGACTGAGTTTCAATCATCACATTCTTGAACCTTTCCACAAGTTGATCACGTTGTTCTTCGGTGAGTTGAAGATTGGCAACTGTGTCCCTGACACGTGAAGATAATTCCTTTGCTCCACCAGTTGCAGCTTCTTGAAAGGTTTTATTGCCCTCACTAAATTCTTTTATATGAGCTCCAGTGACTTTAGCTGCTGTCTTTGCAACAGGATAAGTGCTTTCCCGCGCTTGCTGTTTAGATTCTTGTTTTGCTTCTTGAAGAGACTTCTCTTTATCAGTTCCAAGTTCAGGACCTGTTTCTGTAGGTGGTTCTTTGCCTGGAACAGTTCGTAAAAGTGAATCCTGAAGAATACTGTGGATATCATTTATTAATTTTCTGAATTCTGAACTTGTGATGAGTAGTTGTGGAATTAATAGAACTTCTTTAATCGCATTTTGAATCAATGATTGGGAAGTTGAAGCCTCGGAAGAAACTTTCTGTTTCATATCCTCAGGAATTGTTGCAGAATCTAGTCAAAGTGATAAAAAAAAAGGTGAAAATATATAATTTTGAAGCCCGTAAAAAAGAAAAAACCGACTTGTTCAAAAGCTTACCACCAACGTCACTTGTTGCTTTATTACCATAGTAGAAAACATTTTGTAATTCATCTCCAACATTCTTGTCTTCTAGCAACTTCTTCGTGCTCTCTAAAAGCTTTTCGAGACTCGACAGAACTCGTTTGCCTAAAGGAGACATTCCGCGTGCAGAATCATAAATAACATCGGATTCTTGAATTGATTCAATTGCAGATGTGATTTGTTGATTCGATGGAAGTTTTCCTTCTCTATAAACGAAAGTGTGATTGTTTAATATGAGATAATCCGGATATAATTTCCCAATCCGTAAGTTAAAAAAATTTATGATAGATTACTTATAATTATACCTGAGAGCTTCGGCAACTTGTTCAGCTTTATCACGAGTTTGAATTGCTTCTCGTTCTTGCGCAGAACGATCTGCATCGTTATGTCGTGTAGGATTAGACATGGTTTTCGTATAATAAAAAATGTGATTGAAAAAAAAATAAACGGATATTTCTTACGAATTTTACCTAAGGAAAAGTCAAGGCTTTTATAAGAAAGCATTTGGTTTAAGCGTTAATACTTACATCATTAATTAATTAATATAATAAAATTCTCGTTCGTTGAATTCACATCATTATCGTAATATTTTCATCATTCTTATTTTTGAAATGACGTTTTTATGAAAAATATTCTAATTACGATATTATTGATAATAATTCGGTCATAGCAATCCAAACCCGATTAGTCGATCACTTGAAATATAAATTTCTTATATCTTAATGCGTTAATGCCGGCCAAAAATCAGGGAAAGCAGTGTTGGCTAATTAGACAAATTGGACTAACTGAACTTAGACATATATAAGTCCAGTGACTGGACTTATAAGTTAAAGATGTTTATTTTAGCAATTAGTAAATATAAGAATTATATGAAAAATATAAGTTTATTAAGAAGTTTTATAAATAATTTAATTTTATAATTGTTTTAAAATATTATATATATATTTATGAATTAGTTAAATCACTTTACTATTAATAAAAGTTAAAAATTGTAAACAATTAAAGTTATTTTTTATAATAAATCTTATAATACTAGGAAATAGTTTAAAAGACTATTATTAATTTTAGAATAATCTTAATTAAAAAAAATATTGTAAAAGTCAATCAGCATCAACTCAATTATTGAATGGGTAGACAATAGGACATCTTATGTAATATGTAACTAGTATATGAAAGTTCTTTGCTTTACTTCAGACTAATTATATATTGCTAAAATAAATTTTCATAAGATTAATAATTTAAGTTTTTAAAATTATAGATTTTTAATTTATAAATAACTTTAAATCTTTTAAATCTTTTATTATATAAAAAAAAAATAAAATTACTATAATATAATCTATATTTATAAATAAATTTAAAAAATATTTTTAAAAATTTTAATTTTTTATAAAAGTAAATCAGAAAGAAATTTATAATAATAAGATAAATTTGTCTATAAATCTTATAATTTAAAGAATAAAAATAATTAATACTAAATAAAAGTAAAAACTTATAATATATTATTAGATTAAAATATATAAAAATTATATACCTGCTAAAATTTTCTTTACCAAACCTTTTTTTAAATTTTTAATATCAGTGTATAATTTTAGTAGTTTGATTATATATACATGCATATAACTGAAAATTCTTTGTATATATTATTCTTTTAAAGTATATGTAAATTTACACAATAATTTGTTAAAAAATTTTTTTATAAATATACAAATATAAGACAAAAGTAATCAGAATTATAAAAATACAATAACTCAATAACTTATAATTAAAATTGCTTTAAATCTTAAAATATTATTATTAAATATATAAGCATTATATATAAAAAATTTTAGCATTTTATTTTATTTTCTTATATTGCAATTATTTTTTAATTAAAATAAAATAAATAATATTAAAATGTTAAACACAATTTCTCAATGTTTAGTAATCTAATTCATGTAAATTATTTTTATTTTATAGCTACAGTCAACTCTTTCTACAACGAATTTTGATATAACGAATTTTACAATACAACGGATTTTCATTGTCAGACAGAT